CAGGAGGCCAAAATCACAGATGCTCCTTAGATGGGCTTAAGTGTGTCAACGTTCTCGCCGCTTCGGGCTTCCGACGCTACAGGACGGGCACACAAGCCCCCAAGATCGCCCCAAGGCGGCCCAAAAGGCCCGCAAGACTGCCCAAGGGGGCCCCAAGACAGCCAAGAGGCCCCAAAGACGGCCCCAGAGACCTCCAAGACGGCCCCAAAGCAAGCCCCAAGAGAGCTTCAGAAGGCGAGAAGGGCAGATGAAGAGGCCCCCAGGGGCCCGCAAGAGGGCCCCATGAAACCCCCAAGGTGGCCCAAGAGGGTCCCAAGACGGCCCCAACAGGGGCCCGAGAGAGGGAGCACGAACCGAAAATCCGAACACTCAGCCCCAAGAGGCCCCCAGGAGGCCCCAAAAGGCACACAAGAGGCTCCAAGAGACCTCCAAGAGGCCCCCCAGAGGTCCCAAGAGGCCCCCAGAGGCCAAAGAGGGGCCCCCAAGAGACTTCAAAACTGCCTCCAAGAGGCCTCCGAGAGGCTCCCCACGAGATCCCAACGAACATCCAATAGGCTTATAATCCACAACCCAAGCACGGTGGCGGGACTTGCCGTAGGCAGCTGGATCCGCCGCCCCCTGTCGATTCATCAAAGAGGTGCCTGGCGTGTCAAACCCTCTCGGTTTTAGCCTTGGTTCTGTTTCCGAAAGAACTCCCCCTGGGGCTCCGGCGCGTCCCGCTGGCCACCCGGAAAGGCGCTCAAAACGCATCCGTCGTGCCTCTGTTTCCTCCAGTTGGCCCAAGATGGCGTCCAAGACGGCCAAGATGGCCCCGGATAGTCTCCAAGACGTCTCCAAGACGGCCCAAGATTGCCTCCAAGACGGCTAAGATGGCCCCAAGATGCCTCCAAGACGGCCCAAGATGTTCCCAAGACGGCCTCAGATAGCCTCAGGATGGCCTCAACATGGTCCAAGACGGCCCAAGAGGCCTTGAATACGGCCCAAAAGGCCTCCAAGAGGTCCGCCAAGAAGGCCCGAAGAGGGCAAAATCATTGATTTCCCGTTGGTTTTTGAAGGATTTTGGAATTTGTCCATTTTCGGCATTCCGACGGCTCAAGACGGCCCAAGAGGCCCCCAAGATCGCCACAAGATCGCCTACGAGGCTTCCAAGATGGCCCCAGACGGCCCAACAGGCCCCCAAGACGGCCCCAAGAAGGCCCCAAGAGGCCTCCAAGACGGCTAAGATGGCCCCAAGATGCCTCCAAGACGGCCCAAGATGTACCCAAGACGGCCTCAGATAGCATCAGGATGGCCTCAACATGGTCCAAGACGGCCCAAGAGGCCTTGAATACGGCCCAAAAGGCCTCCAAGAGGTCCGCCAAGAAGGCCCGAAGAGGGCAAAATCATTGATTTTCCGTTGGTTTTTGAATGATTTTGAAATTTGTCTCTTTTCAGAACTCCGACGGCTCAAGACGGCCCAAGAGGCCCCTAAGATCGCCCCAAGATCGCCTACGAGGCTTCCAAGATGGCCCCAGACGGCCCAACAGGCCCCCAAGACGGCCCCAAGAAGGCCCCAAGAAGGCCCCAAGAGGCCTCCAAGACGGCCAAGATGGCCTCCAAGACGGCCAAGAGAGGAGGATATGCCTCCAAGTCCGCCCAAGAAACCTCCAAGACGGCCCAAGACGGCCCAAGAGGTGCCCAAGAGGCCTCCAAGACGGCCCAGGAGGCCTCCTCCGAGGGGTCCTCCAGGAGGGCACGACGAGGCCAAAATCATTGATGTTCCCTAGGTTGTTGAAGGATTTTCGTATTTGCTCCTTTTCGGCATTCCGACGGCCCAAGACGGCCCAAGAGGCCCCCAAGATCGCCCCCACAGCGCCCAAGAAGCCCCCAAGATGGCCTCAGGACTGCCCAAGAGGCCCCCAAGACGGCCTCAAGAGAGCACAAAGACGACCCAAGAGGCCCCCAAGACGCCCAAGATGGCCTCTAAGACGGCCCTGGAGCACCCCGAGAGGGCCACAAGTCGGCCCAAAGAGGCCCCCCAAACGGCTTCCGACGGCGTCAGACGGGCCAGGAGCCCACCAAGATAGCCGAAGTTGGCTCGAAGCTGGCCCAAGACGGCCCAAGAGGCCTCCAAGAGGGCCTCCAGGAAAGCCAGAAAATGGCCAAACACATTGAGTTGCCTTGGGTTTGTGAAGGATTTTGACATGTGTTTCTTTTCGGCCTTCCGACGGGCCGAGACGGTCCATGAGCGCCCAAAGATCTCCCAAAGATCGCCCAAGAGGCCTCCAAGATGGCCCCAGAACGGCCCAAGAGGCCCCCAAGAAGGCCCCAAGAGGCCCCCAAGACGGCCCAGGAGGCTCTCAAGACGCCCAAGATGGCCTCCAATACGGCCCTGGAGCATTCCAAGAGAGCCCCGAGTCGGCCCACAGGGGCCCCCCAAACGGCTTCCGACGGCATCGGACGGGCCAGGAGCCCACCAAAACGGCCGAAGATGGCCCTAAGATGGCCCAAGACGGCCCAAGAGGCTCCCAAGAGGGCCTGGCCGAAAAGGCCAATATCAACGATTTCCCATTAGTTTTTGAAGGATTGCGGCGTTTGCGTTTTTTCGGCCTTCCGACGGCCCGAGACGGCCCAAGTGCCCCCGAAGATCGCCCAAGAGGCCCCCGAGACGGCCGAAGGGGCCCCCAAGACGGCCCAAGAAGCCTCCACGCCCAAGATGGCCTCAAAGACGGCCCAAAAGCCCTCCAAAACGTCCCCCAAGAAGACCCGAAAGGGTCAAAATGGCCTCCACACGGCCAAGATGACCTTCAGGATGCCCACGTGTTCCCCGAAGGCTTTCCGAACCGATTCGGGGAACACATGGTCCGATAGCTTGGCAGGTCTGGCCTCAACGTTCGGCCACCTAGGCGCTTCCAAAAAGGCAGGGGGCGGCGGTGATTCGCCGCAGGCGTCTTCGATAAACATGCGTACGCATATATACATGTGCATGCACCTGACTGTGCTTCGCATAGCATGGAGCGGGCGCCGCTAGCCGACGTATTCCCAGAACTGTTGTCAAAACGCTGGGACGCCAAAACTACACCCACACCCTCTATGAAGATCTGACTGGCAATGATCTCGCTGACATGCCAAAGTGCCCAAGACCACTACACGTTTCAACTCGGCGACGCAGAGGGTCCTCAGGCGCGAGCAGCAGATGGAAGTGCCGATTGCGATCGGTCATCGTCGAAGGCACAAACCGCTGCACACTGTCAAATGCAGCAACGGGTGGGATGAAAGAGGAGATGTAAGTCCAAGCGAAACGGACAGCGACCAGAAAATCGAGGAAGCGACTCAACTCGAAGTAAACTGAAGCGCGAACAGTCTGGCGCGAATTGGCAGTCACCGAATCACCAAAGAGCGGTGTTAGACAATGAAGCGCAAGAATGAACTGAAGAACTGTAACGGCTGCCAGACCAGCCGATGTGGGATGAAACGATGACCCAACACGACGACCAGCATGCAACTGAAGCGTGACAGCCAGGGGCTAATGGCGGCCACTGAATCACCAGAGCGGTGTCGACAATAAAGCGCAAGGAAATGACCACTACACACACACACATACACCACAATTCCTAGCCCCCCGCAGTTGCAGATAAGAGTGAAGGGGCGGGCGGGTCGGCCTGGGGTGGGTCGCGGGGTGGGTCGCGGGCTGGGTCGCGGGCTGGGTCTTCGATCGTACCCTCCTTCGGAGTATATCTTCCTTACCTGCCACGTGTAGTTGGCGCAGACCCTGAAACAGGGAAGGGAGGGAGGAGGGAAGGGACAAGGGGGAGGGAGAAGGATGGAGCAGAACCAAACGAGCGGGTCGGACAGGCGGGCCCAGACGTCTGGGTCGAGCGAGCGGGTCGCTGAAGCGTCAGTCCTGCAGAAATCGCGATGAAGCCTCGAGCGATAGCGCGATTTCCAAGTGAATCGTGAGCAAGTCAAAAGCGAGAGCGTAATTCCTGCGTGTCGAGAGCGCGGCGTCTCAATAAATTGGGAGGATGTCCAACGCGAGAGCGTGACTGCTGGATAAATTGTTGGGAAGTCATGTGCGAAAGCGCGATTTTTTAGAAATTGTGAAGAAATATCAGGCGGGACCCCTTGTTGTAATAAACCAAGGGGCAGGGGTACAGTTTTGAGACCCAAGACTTCCCCTTGCGAAAAGCAGGGTGCGGGCCATGGGAGGGGCACTTCAGTTGAGAAACACAATTGGGCACCGGAGGGGGGAATCGACAACGACTATTCTGTAGAAATTGCAACTCGACAACAGCAAACACCAAACGAGCAGACTGTGGGCCACGAACTCCGCTTCACCCCCAGGGATGGTGTAAAACCCTTCCGCCCCCTCCACTTGAATAGATACGTATATGCACATACATAAATACATGCACATACCTACATACATGCATGCATGCATGCATACATACATGCATGCATGCCTGCATACATATATGTATATATACACGCATACAGACATACATACATACACACACACATACATACATACATACATACATACATACATACATACATATATACATACATGCATGCATACATACATACATACATACATACATACATACATACATACATACATACATACATACGTGCATACCAACATACATGCATGCATACATACATACATGCATGCACACATGTATACATGCATGCATGCATGCCTGCATGCATGCATACATACGTGCATACATGCATGCATACAAACAAGCATGCATACGTGCATGCATACATACATGCATAACTGCATAAATACATAACTGCATGCATGTATGCATGCATACATACATACATACATACATAGATGCATGCATACATGCATACAAACATAATACCTGCATTCATACGTACAAGCATACATGCATACATACATATATACATATATATATATATATATGCATGCAGATTCATACATTCATACATACGTATGTACGTACATACATACATGCATCTGCAAGCAAGGAGGCAAACACGCCAGGCACCTGCCCCCGTGAGCCGCTCCAGGATCTCTGCGCAGCTGAGCTTGTCCGACGGCCCCGGCGGGCCCAGGTCCTCGCCGGGCTCGGCGCGAGCAGTTGGCTCAATCATAAGACAGAGCTTCGAGCACCACGAAAGTACAGAACCTAGAGGGCTTTCACGAGCGGGGCCCTTTCGGAGGCGATTTTCGTTCGATACTGTTTCGATACTGCTCTGGGTGCTCGACATTGTTTCTGGGATGTGGTCCTCAAGTACGATGGGAACTGAGTACTTATCGTTTAACCGATCCCCATCCCCAGCGGCGTGGCCTGGGCCCCACTGGCCGATTCACCCCCTAGATGGGGATATAGGCCGCTTCCGAAGGGCATGGGGATGGGGATGGGGATTGGTTAAGCGATATACCGATCACAATCAGATCGGGCAGGGGCGATTCAGAGATTACCCCAGCAACGCACGCCGACAGCAGCAAAGGTGAAGAGGCGGGTGGAGGGGAGATCGGCTTTTTAGGGTCCTCGCTGGGCTCTGCGCGACCGGACGGTCCAACAAACAAATCGGGCAGGGGCGATTCAGAGATTACCCCAACAACGCACGCCGACAGCAGCAAAGGTGAAGAGGCGGGTGGAGGGGAGGTCAGCTTTTTAAGGTCCTCGCCGGGCTCGGCGCGACCGGACGGTGCGACAAACAAATCGGGCAGGGAGGATTCAGAGATTGCGGTTGGGTCGTGCAGCGTCGACGCAGCGTCGACGCGTCGACGCGCGGTAGGGGACGCAGCGTCGATCGTTCAACCTTGAACCCATCGCGGCCCCGATCGTTCAAGGCTGAATCCCGTCGGGTACAATGGCGTTACCGCGCCCATCAGGGGCCGCGGGTCCCCCCCCAAAAAAATCTGGTCAAACTAATGTTTTAAGACGGGTGAGAAAAAATGCAGATTGCCGTTCAAAAATTGTTTTCCGGCCCCCTAGGCGCGATCCGTGTGAAGGGTGTGCCAAAAGCGGCTTCTCGACGCCAGCTCACCTGGCAACCTGGGAGCCAACCAGCCAGTCGACCAACCAGCCAACCAGCCATTACTGGCGCATTGTGTTTTTAGGATGTCCCACACCGCCGGGCGCAGATTCATGTTTTGGGGACCCAAGAATGACCGCGGGGCGGGGAAAGGGAGGAGGATGACGGAATGGAATGGACGGAATGGACCGGAAGGGAGGAGTGGATGGAATGGAATGGCGCGGACTGGCATGGAATGGATGGGAGGCGCGCGCGGGGGGACGAGCGGCCGGGCGGGCGAGCGGGCGGGCGTACAGACGTGCGGGCGGGCGCACTGCGCTGCGCTGCGCTGCATTGTATTGGAGTCAGGTGCGGAGGGGGGAGGAGGGGGAGGAGGGGGAGGAGGGGGAGGAGGGGAGGGGGAGGACAGAGGAGGGAGCAGTACACTGCATTGCAGCGAGGAGGCAGGAGGAGGAAGGAGGGAGGAGGGGGGGAGAAGGGAGGAAGGGGCAGGGAGGAGGGAGGAGGCAGGAGAGAGGAGGAGGGAGGGAGCAGGACGAGGAGGATAGAGTGGTATTTGTGTTCGCCGACCTGGCCCTCGTCATCGCCGTCGTCGCGGTATACTGTTTTTGTTCGGCCCCCACGGCACTGCCACGTGACGCGTTACACTGCGTTGCGTTGCGCTGCGCTGCGCTGCACTGCGTTGCGCTGCGCTGCGTTGCACTGAATTGCACTGCATTGCATTGCACTGCATTTCCATTGCATTGCATTGTATTGCATTGTATTGCGTTGCATCCTGCTGCGGTGCATCTGCATGTCATCTGCAATACATTGCATTGCAGTACCTTGCGGGCGAGGGGAAGGAGGACAGGAGGGAGGAGAAGGGAGGAAGGTAGAGAGGAGGGGAGGAAGGGGGAGGACTGGGGAGGGAGGAGGGGAGAGGAGAGGAGGGGAAGGAGGGAGGAAGGAGGAAGGAGAAGGGAGGAGGGAGGAGGGAGGAGGGAGGAGGGAGAAGGGAGGGGGGGGAAGAAGGACGTAGAGGATAGGATAGAATTAGTGTGCGCCTCCCTGGCCCTCGTCATCGTCGTCGTCCTCGTCGTCGTCGTTCTCGCCTTCGTCCTCGTCGTCGTCGTGGCACAGCGTGTTGTGCGGCCCCCGCGGCGCTGCCAGGCGACGACTAGAACGGAACACTTCTTCTTCGCGCCCCCAGGCGTTGCCCCGTGGCGATGGGGAGTGGCACAATATCTGTCGGCCCCCGCAGCGCTGCCACGCGACGAGCAGAGCGGGATGGTGTTGCTTCGTTCCGGCCCCCGCGGCGCTGCCACGCGACAAGCATTTCCAGCCTGGAACATATCCCTATCCCTATGCTGGGCACCTCCTCATCACGATGCCAATCTTAGGGACTCCCTTATTTTTTGAGGGCGAATCCCTAAGATTGTCATCGCCTTTTGGCGTGTCAATCTTAGGGATAGGGATACGTTCGAGGCTGGTAAAAGCAGAGTGGATGGAGCAGTGTCTCCTCGCGCCCCCAGACGTTGCCATGCGGCGCGAGGAGTGGCCTGGTGTTGGGTCGGGCCCGTCCCCCTACAGGGGGATTTTGGACGAAACAGACAAAATAGTCAGAACCTACCCTAGAATACTCAAGAGTGGTATTTAAAAAAATGTTTGAATGTTCCTCCTGTAGAGGGACAGGCCCGACTTAAGCCTAGTATGTGTTGTTGGCCCCCGCGGTTGCTGCCACGTGACGAAAAGTGGACTAGTAAGTTTGTCGGGCCCCGCCAGCGCTGCCACGCGGCAACTAGAAGGGAAGAGTATGTTTTCTGGCCCCCAACGGTGCTGCCCCCTCCTCCTCCCCATCCTCCTCCTCCTCCTCCTCCTCCCCCTCCTCCTCCTTCTCCTCCTCCTCCTCGGGAGCCAGGTGGTGCGTACGGAGTGGCATTGCCACGTGGCGACCAACCAACCAACCAACCAACCAGCCAACCAACCAACCCACCAACCAACAAACCGATCGACAAGCCGTCAGCCAACCAACCAGCCCGCCAATACCAGATCCTGTTGCGTTGCGTTGCACTGCACTGCGCTGAATGTGAATTGTATTTGCAGTACATTGCATTGCAGTACACTGGTGGCGAGGAGGAGGACTGGAGGGAGGAGAAGGGAGGAAGGTAGAGAGGAGGAGGAGGAAGAAGGAGGAGTGAGGAAGGAGGGGGGAAGGAGGGAAGGGGAAGGAGGGAGGGAGGCGGGAGGAAGGGGGAGGAAGGAGGGAGGAGGGAGGATGGAGGAGGGAGGAACGAGAGGTATGGAGATGGACGAGAAGGAGCAAAGGATAGAATTGCTGTTCGCCTCCCTGGACCTCGTCATCGTGTCATCATCGTCGTCGTTGTTCTAGTCCTGGTCCTCGTCGCCTTGCTCGTGGCGTGATGTGTGTTTCGGCCCCCCCGGCGCTGCCACGTGACGACTAGAACGAGACACGATGTCTTCGCGCCCCCCGGCGTTGCCACGTGGCGAGTGGAGTGGGATAGTATTCTTCTCGGCCCCCGCGGTGCTGCCACGTGACGAGTAGAGACGCATGGCTTTTGCTATTCGGCCACCGCGATGCTGCCGCGTGCCAAGCAGAGCGGATGGAATACGGCTTCTTCGCGCCGCCAGGCGTCGCCGTGTGGCATGTGGAGTGGGCGAGCATCTTTGCTCGGCCCCCGGCGGCGTCGCCACGTCACGAACATGGTAGAATAGCATGTTTTGTCGCAGCCCCACGGAGCTGCCACGTGACGAGCAGAGTGAAATGATATCTTGTCGCCCGCCACGGCGTTTCCACGTGGCGAGTCGAGTGGAAAATATTGTATCGCTTCGCTCATTCCGCCAGCCATTTTCGCATCACGGTGGCTGCATGGTGGTGTGCTCGTACCCATGGGGAACGGTAGGGCAGACAGGACTGTCCTTGAGGATATCTTTGGAGATGTGGCTCGCACCCTGTCGAAGAGAGACGATAGACTGCCCCAGAGGGCGCCAAGATGGCTCCAGAGAGTTCCAGCAGAGTTTCGAGACGCATCTTGGCTGTGGGTCAGAGGCCTCATGGATGCTTCTGAGGGTCTCTTCGGAAGGCTCTCGGGAGCCTCTGGGGAGCAGTTTTTAGGCATCTGAAGAGCCTAGGGGCCTCTTAGGACTTCCTAGGGGCCTGTTGGGGGCCTTGGGAGCCTCTTTGGGGGCCTCTTGGGGGCCTCTTGGGGGGATCTTGGGGGCCTATGGGGGCTTCCTGGGCGCCTCATGGGGCCGAGAGCTCGAAACGTCTGTTCGGGTTACCCCAAGAGGTCCACAACGTGGCTCCCCAAAGGTCTGAGCTGATGGACCGATCTTCCACCACCACTACCATAGGCAGGATAGGGGAGAGGAGGAGGAGGGGGAGGAGGAGGAGGAGGAGGAGGAGGAGGAGGAGCAGGAGCAGGAGCAGGAGCAGGAGCAGGAGCAGGAGCAGGAGCAAGAGCAGGAGCAGGAGCAGGAGCAGGAGCAGGAGCAGGAGGAGCAGGAGGAAAAGGAGGACGACGACGAGGACGACGAGGAGGAGGAGGAGGAGGAGGAGGAGGAGGAGGAGGAGCAGGAGGAGGAGCAGGAGGAGGAGGAGGAAGAGGAGGAGCACGAGGAGGAGGACGAGGAGGAGGAGCAGGAGGAGGAGGAGGAGCAGGAGGAGGAGGAGGACCCCGTCCTGCCTGTGGCAGCGGCGGTGGGACACTGGCCCATCACGAACCCCTTCCCACGGACCGGGGCCCATCCTGTCCGGCCGCCGGCGCTGGCGGTCGCAAGCGCGCCCGCAGAGCCGGCGGGCCACGCGCCGGGCACGGGGGCACGCCGAGACGAGCGGCGGAGCGGAGGGCGGCCGCGGAGCCGGAGGAGGGGCAGAGGCCCGGGCTGCCGAGAGGCGGCGAGGCTGGAGCGCGCAGGCTTTCCAGCCTCGAACGCATCCCTATCCCTAAGGTTGACACGCCAAAAGGCGATGACAATCTTACGGATTCGCCCTCAAAAAATAAGGGAATCCCTAAGATTGGCATCGTGATGAGGAGATGCCCAGCATAGGGATAGGAATATGTTCCAGGCTGGTAAGCAGGCGGCCAGGGCCACCGGGAGCCCGCGCACCGGCAGGGCGCCCTCGACCTCCACCTTCGGCACCTTCCGGACGGCGGGTGCCACGCAGCGGCCGCCGCCAGCGCGGCCGCAGTGGCGGCCGCCGTCGAGGCCGCAGCGGCGGTCTCGGCGGTCGCCGCGGCTGTGCCGCGGCGGCACCTGCTGCGCGGAAGGCTCGGAAGGTGGAGGTCGAGGGCGGGTCCTCCTCATCCTGAGCCGTTTTTCTTTAGACCCGCGCGCTCCACGACTCGCAGAGGACCTGCTCGCAAGTGGCCTGGCTCCGCCGCGGGGGATCCACGATCCACTACACATCGACGGAAGCACGTGTTTTTTTGACGTTTGCGAGCAGTCACTCGCGAGTAGTGGGAAGCGCACGGTGTTTCTTGGAGGCTCCGGGGCCTGGGATGAGGGCCCCGGGAGGCCGAAGCGTGCAAGAAGCCTTCCGAGCCCCGAAGCCTTGCGTGAGGACACCACGGTCTGGCGAGCACCTCACAGCCTCCGGCCCGCACGGGTTTGGTGGGGAACGTTAGCACGGGACTGGTTCACGGGAGGGAGAATCTAGCTGGAATCGGCGACACATCGCCGAGCGGTGGCGGCAAACTGGCAGGGAGCAGCGAGCAACTCGTGCACTGCGTTTGCGCGCCAACAGGAGGAAAAGCAAATGGTGTAAGAAGCAACCACATGCGACCCCCACCCCTGCAGGTCAGAATGCTGAAGCCCCGGCAGGGGGTTAGAATTCTAAAGCCCCGCCAATAGATCGGCGATCGGCCCCCAGTAGCAAATCGGGACGTTCCTGGGCGGTGTGGGCTATGCGGTGCATTTCGGCGACGAATGTGCGAAAGGGGTCGATGCGTAGCCCCTCAGCCTATCCCCACCTCACGTTGCCCCTGCTCAAGAGGAAAAATTCGGTCCCAGGACGTCTGCTGGGGTGCACCCTGACCCGACTTTCGGAGCGGATCCAGTCGTGGTCACGAAGGCCCTGAGAGTCGACGTACCGAAAAAAAAACAACATCGTGAAAAATCACGCCCGGGGCCCTGGACCCCATCTTTCTGCATCATTCTTCGAGTCAGATCGATATGTGATGGCCCCGGGGCCCGAAAAAAGACAACAACAAAAAACGCCCGGCTCGAAAAAAAGAACCGCCAGGATCCGAGGGGGCGCCCAGGGACAATCAAAAACCTCCAGAACGCGAACCTTCACGATCGAACATCGAAGCACTGCGGCAGATCCCCCCCCCTGACTCGGGGGCGCGCAAACATGGATCAGCGATCCATGGATGTGGCGCGCGGTCGCCAAATCCATGGATCGGTGGAGGTGCCCTCCCCAAAGTGCGGCCGGTGCCGCCACGTTCGGCGGCGCAACTCCGCGGTTTCCCTCCTCTTCCTCCTCCTCCTCCTCCTCCTCCTCCTCCTCCTCCTCCTCCTCCTCCTCCTCCTCCTTGCTAGGAAGTAGGAGGAGGAGGAGGAGGAGGAGGAAAAGGAGGAGGGTGTAGGAAGAGGAGGAGGAGGAGGAGGAAGAGGAGGGTGCAGGAAGGAGGAGGAGGGGATGGGGCCCGTCGCCGATCCGCGCCCCGTCCGTCCACGTCTGCGATGGCCTGCCGGACGTGGCGCCCGAGGGCCGCCTCTCCGCGGCGCTCCCCCGCGCGCGCGGGCGCGCGCAGTCCTCGATGTCGCAGCCGAAGCCTGCGGCGGCCGCGCGAGGGGGGCAGGCCGCGGCCGGGGGGCCGGCGCGGGGCGGGCGGCCCGAGCGAGAGGCGAGGCAACTGGGCCTTCTGCGGGGGCGAGGAGGGAGGAGGAGGGGGAGGAGGAGGAGGAGGAGGAGGAGGAGGAGGAGGAGGAGGAGGAGGAGAGAGGAGGAGGAGGAGGAGGAGGAAGAGGAGGAGGAGGAGGAGGAGGAGGAGGGGAGGAGGAGGAGGAGGAGGGAGGAGGAGGAGGAGGGAGGAGGGAGGAGGAGAGGAGGAGGGAGGAGGGAGGGAGGGAGGAGGAGGGGGCAGGGCTTATGTCGGGCCTGTCCCCCCTACAAAGGGATTTTCGCCGAAAAATGAAAAATAAAAATACCCCAAAAATACCCCACCAGGGCAAAAAAATATTCAAAAAATAGTCCCCTGACTATTTATCTATTTTTGACTATTTGGGGGGTATGCTTTATTTTCCGTCGAAAATCCCCCTGTAGGGGGACAAGCCCGACTTAACACGAGGCCTCTTCGTCGGGTCTTCTGGGCAACTCGCGGGAGCCGCCCGCGCCATCTTGCTGGCTTCCCGACGGCAGTCGGCGCTAACCGACGCGCGTCGGCGCCGATCGACGCGAGTCGGCGCCAGATCGAGGCCAACCGACGCTGAATCGACGCGAGTCGGCGCTACATCGGGGCGCGCCCGTCGACTACCAGGAACTATCGCACGCGAGCGCGCACTACAGACGGAATGACGAGGACATACGAGGCCCCCATAACCCAGAGATCCGACGTAGCAAAAAAATGCAGCATCGTGAAAAATCACGCCCCTGGCCCTCGACCCCATCTTTCTGCGTCACTGTTCGAGCCCGATCGATCTGTGAGGGCCCCGGGGCCGGAGAAAGGGCGAGAACGCCCGGCTCGAAAAGCCTGCGACGCCAGGATCTCAGGGGAGGCTCCCACGAGCTGCTATGCCGAACAGATTTGTGTCGTCGGCGGCGAGGCAGAGGCAGTCCGCACCAGCGTGCGGTTAAGCGGGGCAACCGATCGGCACAGTGTCCAGCGTGCAAGAGAGAGAGAGAGGCGAAGACGAAGGTGGCCGCGCGAAGGGAGGAGGGGAGGGCGCTCAGACGTGGAGGAGTTCCGCGGTGAGCGGGCCGGAGCGGCCAGCCAGGTCAGCGCAATTCCCAGACCCCCGACGTAATGATTTTTTCATTACGTCGACCCCCAGAGGTGCCGACCCCTTCCCCATGACCAGCTTTGCATCCTGAGTCGTTTTTTGACGCTCCCGAGGCCCAGTGAGGGCCCCCAGGGGCCGAAAATCAAGAGAAACCGTCCGTCCTGACTTTTTCAGTGCTCGAGGGGGTCTGGGTACCGAACACGCCTCTCTGCGCGAGGTCGGCCTCGGGCCCCCCGGGCCTCGGCGCGGCAGCCGCGCGAGTCCAAAAGCTGTCGGGGCGGCTGCCGCGGCCGGGGGTGTTGGGGGGCTCCCACGGCCAGGACCGGCCCGACCGGCCAGAGACAAGAGGGCGGCTACACGCAAGAGCGACCCTGGGTCCCAGACCTCCTCGCGTTGCGGAAAAAAATCACGGCGGGAGGTTTTCCGCTATTGTCGGCCTCTGGGGGCCCTTACCGGGCCTCGGGAGCGCCAAGAAACGGCACTAGATGAGAAACCAGTCCTGGGGAAGGGGTGCGGACCTCTCGGGGTCGACGTTGTGAAAAAATCACGACGTCGGGGGCCTGGGGGGTAAGGGTGACCTTTGGTGCGCGGCTCGCTGAGGGCTGCGGGGGGGCCAAACACGGGCGCACAAGACGCTACTAGATCGTACCGCACTCGGCGATCGGGGGGGCCCAGTGGGCGCGCACAAAAAGTCACTCCGGCGAAGGATCACCCCTGCGTGGTCGAAGAGAGGCGGCCGGCCCCTCCGCGATCTCCACCAGCCAGCCTCGCGACCCCTGCCGCTTCGGGCACGCTCGTCGCCCCGAGATTTTGTGTGTGGGGTTGGTGGGTGGCCCCCTCAGCGGCGTGGTGGCCACACCGTGTGGTGAGTCGGTCGAGGTTCGGGGTCCCTCGACCTCCACCGTCGAGACGGCCGCTGCCCCCCACGGCCCGGGACGTCCTCGGAGAACGACCCGAGTCCCAAGACCGTACGGCCACCCCTCGGCCTCCACCTCCCGCACCTTCCGGACGGCAGATGCCGCGCAGCGGCCACCGCCAGCGCAAGCAGTCTCGGCGGTCGCCGCGGCCGCGCCGCGGCTGCACCTGCTGCGCGGCAGGATTGGCAGGTGGAGGTCGAGGGACCCCGAACCCCAAGTGACTCACCACACGGTGTGGTCACCACGCCGTCGAGGGGCCATCAGCCCAAAAAAAGCTCGGGGCGATGAGCTGGACCCCAAGCGGAAGGGGTCGAGAGGCCGGGTGGTCCGCGTCTCCAGACAACTGGGCCGCAGGGTGTCTGGGGAGGGCTGGGCGTTTCATAGGACACCCGAAAGCCATCCTTCCTTGCGCTGCCCCGAAAGTGTGAACACGGACGTTCCTGACATCGGTGCGCCTCCCCTGAGACGAGATTTGCGAGCCCAGGGACTCTCGATGCGTCCTGGTCTTCTGGACCCTTCAGCTCCAAAGTTCACGCTCGGCCTGTCGTGACCGCGAGCGTTAGTCCTGTAAAATCGCCAACGGAGTATGGCCAGATCCTCGGCTTGGCACGCGCAGGGCGTGCCCAGGCCTCACGCAGGGCCACGTGGCAGCACCGCTGAGATCGGCTCACGACCTGGCCGGTCGAGGCCAACCGGGACACCAGCCACAACCTGTGCCCTCATTTCGACACCCGTCCGCCCCGGTCAGCTCAGGGGTGAGCGCTCGAACTGGCCCACACAAACACGGAGGCCCGTCCAGCAGGAGAGCCTGAGATCCGGCTTCGCAGGCAAAGGCACAGCGCCGTGCCCTGAGATCCCACGTATTACCAGCCTGGACCATATCCCTATCCCTATGCTGGGCATCTCCTCACCACGATGCCAATATTAGGGATTCCCTTATTTTTTGAGGGCGCATCCCTAAGATTGTCATCGCCTTTTGGCGTGTCAATCTTAGGGAAAGGGATAAGTTCGAGGCTGGTAAACGTAGCAAAAAAACTGCAGCACCGTAAGAAATCACGCCTGGAGCCCTAGACCCCATCTCTCTGCATCACTTTTCGGCCGGATCGATCTGCGAGGGCCCCAGGGTCCAAAAAAAGTCGAAAACGCCCAGCTCAAAAAAAAATTGAGACGCCAGGATCTCAGGGTGGAAAATCGCGACCGGAGCCGCAGACCCCACTTTCCTGCGGCACCCCTCGAGCAAGATCGACCCCAGGAAGGGCCCCCGGGGCCAGTCCCCACGGCAGCACCCGGGTTCGAAGATCTGCTGCCGACGCTCTGCCCCGATCCCAGGGCCCGCCGCCTCCCACTCTCCGAGAGGGGCCCAGGGACACCCAAACAAACGGAGACAAATCCCAGGACTCCCCAAATTGTGTTCTATCTTACGGGTAGTCGTCTCGAGTATCCTCCCCACACTTCCCACATGCTTCCCCTGTTCTCCTGGGGGTCAACGATTCATTGTGTCTGTGTGCTTTCCACCTCCTGGCGCTCACCCGACGTCCCGCTCTCGGAGCCCCCTGCCGCCCAGCGACGCCCGGAGGCCCTCCGCTGCAGCCCCTGACACCCGCCGCTTTGATTCTTCTTCCCGCCGCGGTCCCATGGAGGCCCCGACGGAGAAGGAGGAGGAGGAGGAGAAGGAGGAGGAGGAGGAGGAGGAGGAGGAGGCGGAGGAGGCGGAGGAGGAGGAGGGAAAGGAAGAGACGCAGGAGGACGAGGAGGAGGAGGCGGAGGAGGCGGAGGAGGAGGAAAGGGAAGAGAAGCAGGAGGAGGAGGCGGAGGAGGCGGAGGAGGCGGAGGAGGAAGAGGAGAAGGAAAAGGAAGACAAGGAGGACAAGAGGAGGAGAAGGAGGAGGAGGAGGAGGAGGAGGAGGAGGAGAAGGAGGAGGAGGCCCTACCCCCGGGGCCTGCTCCTCGCCCAGGGCCCGTCTCTCTCCACGGTCCCGGGGCCCTGGGGCCCGAGGACGGGCCCCCCACGAGGAGGCCGAGGATCGAGGCAGGGCACCGCGGGCCGAACAAAACAAAGCCCCTCGCCGGCGATCTGGCCCCCCCCCCTCCGTTTGAGGGGGAGGAGGAGGAGGAGGAGGAGGAGGAGGAGGAGGAGAGGAGGAGGAGGAGGAGGAGGAGGAGGAGGAGGAGGAGGAGGAGGGACTGGCATAATGAGGGGGGAATGCATCGGCCTCGAAAGACAGGCACATCGCAGGTACACCGACGATGCATCGCCAAAATCACGGCACGCTTTCCAAGCCACGCGCCCGCGCATGGCCCGACAACAGTACGCGTCGGGCGTCGTCCCCAAGAAGGGCCTCTCGCGGCGGGCGGAGCGGCGTTCCGCCCGCCGCGAGGCCCTGTTGGGTGGCGCCACGCGAACACGATCCCCGCCAACCATCGATTCTGCTGAACCGATGGGAGGCCGAGGATCGAGGCAGGGCGCGCGGGCTTGAAAAGCCCCATCGTCGGCGATCTGGGCCCCCCCCCCCCTCCGTTCCCAGACCCCTCGCGCGCCGTGACGACAGCACGACGGGAGGGTTCTCGCGATGTTCGTCGGCCTGCGGGGGACCTTCCCAGGCCTCGGGAGCATCAGAGAACGACTCGCGATGAAAAGCTGATCCCGGAAAAGGGGTCTGCAAACCCTGAACCCCCAGGACCGGCTTGTCATCCTGAGCCGTTTTTTTTTGGGGTTGACGGTCCCGGGGTCCAGGAAGGGCCCCCAGAGGCCGAAAGCAGCGAAACACCCCCTGTCGTGAATTTGTCAGGACGCGAGGAGGTCTGGGTTCCGCCCGCTGCGAGGCCCTGAGGCCATGGCAGGCCGGTGGCGGCGGCTGGGGCAGCGCGTGGGATGAGATCGTCCTCGTCGGGCTTTTTTCGTGGGTGCCCCCTCGGGATCTTTATATATATATATATATATATGTGTGTGTGTGTGAATCGTATATATATATATATAAAAAATGGTTGGCTCCCCGGAGCATCGGCGAACTGCTATGCCCGACTCTGCTGGCGGGGGCAGCGCCTGGGATGAGATCGTCATCGTCGGGCGCTGGTATCCGCAGCCGCTGCCTGCGGGGGCTCCTTCTCCGCCTCCTCCTCCTCGTCCGCCGCGTCCTCCTCCTCCTCCTCCTCCTCCTCCTCCTCCTCCTCCTCCTCCTCCTCCTCCTCCTCCTCCTCCTCCTCCTTGCCGGCTCTAGCGAATCGACGCTAGTCGACGCCAAATCGACGCTAATCGAAGCTAAATCGACGCGAATCGACGCTAACCGACGCTAAATCGGCGCTATCTCCTCGACTCCAGAGGCTAGTCGACGCCAATCGACGCTAAAGACCGAATTCGGCGGGTGCACCAGGCTCCCATGATTTGCCACCGAACTCGGCTGCTCGCGTGATTTTTTACGGCGTTGCATTTTTGTTCGCCACGACGGATCTCTGGGTTCAACCTGGGCATTTGTTTCACTCGATTTCCGCCACGGAGGCCGTTAGCGGGCTCCAGGTGGCCATCAAAAGAGGCCCCCGGGGCAAAGACCTGTCCCCGGGGGATGCGGTCGGCACCTCTTTCGGTGGTGGCCGAGCCTCCCTTTAGTGAACCTCCCCTGTAGCGAAAACGGCCTACAGGACCGAAACAGACGGACCTGGACCCGCAGAAAGGACGGCCGCGTACGCCCTGACGCGAGCCGAAAACGGCCAATTCCTTAAAAGACGCGTCTGGGCAGGAGGTCCATCAACCTGCGACCCTCTGGGGCCGAGCACTGGAAATGTGTGCTGGCGGATATCTGGGGGAGTGGCCGCTGGCGCCCGGCCTCCCGCGGGCCGCGGGGGGGGTCGAACCTGAGCGCACAGGCCAGCGCTGGGGGGATCGCTGTGGGCCCACACTGAGAGGGCCACTCTGGCGAAGGGACACCCTTCCCTGAGATCCTGGCGTCTCAATGGTTTCGAGCCTGGCGTTCTCGCCCCTTCTCTGGGCCCCCGAGACCCTCCCCGATCGATTGGGCGCGGTGGAGATGGCGCAGAAGGATGGGGTCGAGGGCTCCTGGCATGATTTCCCACGAGGAGTTACACTTTGTTCGCTGCGTCGGATCTCAGGGCTGTGTACGTCTATCCGGTCGGGCGAAAAGGGGGGATAGCAAAGCGGGGGTTTGAGAATCAGCTCATGTAGCTGATTCTCCTGGCGCCTCCCGGCGCCGGAGGAAGGGGCCCCTCGGTGAGGCCGAAACCAGCTGCATGCAGCAAATTTCGTAACCCCCCCATTCCCAATCGGCCCGAGTCTCGGCGAGCGTCGGGCAGCGGGATCCTCACCCATCATCGGCTTGGCGCACGGAGCGAGCCCGCGAGAGCTGGCAGGAGGAGCGGCACTGCTGGCTCGCGTCGCCGGGGCTCGTGCGCGCCTGCCTCCCGGCGCCGCGCGGGGAGCGCTCGCCCGCGGAGCGGTCGTGGCCGGTCGGTGTCGGGGGCGTCCGGGGGGGGAGGAGGAGGAGGAGGAGGAGGAGGGAGGAGGAGGAGGAGGAGGAGGAGGAGGAGGAGGAGGAGGAGGAGGAGGAGGAGGAGGAGGAGAGGAGGAAGAGGAGGAGGAGGAGGAGGAGGAGGAGGAGGAGGAGGAAAGAGGAGGAGAAGGAGGAGGAGGAGAGAAGGAGCAGAAGGACAAGGAGGAGAGGAGGAGGAGGACGAAGAGGAGGAGGAGGAGGAGGAGGAGGAGGAGGAGGAGGAGGAGGAGGAGGACGAGGTGGGGGAGGGAGGAGAGGAGGAGGAGGAGGAAGAGGAGGAGGAGGAGGAGGAGGAGGAGAAAGCTGAGGAGGAGGAGGAAGAGGAGGAGGAGGAGGACGAGGAGGAGGAGGAGAAGGAGCAGAAGGACAAGGAGGAGGAGGACGAGGACGAGGAAGATGACGAGGAGGAGGAGGACGAGGAGGAGGAGGAGGAGGAGGAGAAGGAGGAGGAGGAGGAGGACGAGGAGGACGAGGACGAGGACGGGGGTGTCAAAGAGTGAGGGTCGCAAATCATGGTCGGAAACACTTACGCGGGCGCGGTGAACCCCAGGGACGCGTCAAGAGAAGAAGAAGAAGAAGAAGAAGAGGAGGAGAAAAAGTAAGAGGAAGGGAAAGAAGAGGAAGAAGAAGAAGAAGAGGAAGAAGAATGGGAAGAAGAGGAGGAAGAAGAAGAAGAAAAAGGGGTCATGGAATCTGGAAATTTCATGGTCCCCGCCATGATATCCACCCACTGGTCATCACCCCCCTCTAGGCCGCCCCCGACGGCAGCGCGGACGCTGGCGGCGTTCAACCTCGAACGCACGCGATTGGGGTCGCCGCCGCAACTGCCTTGCGCGAGCGGGCGGGTCGCTGATTCCTTGGGCTCTGGATGCGGAGGAGGGCTGCGAGGGCCACGCGGGCGAGGGGCGGCGCCTCCGACGACAGACTTGCACTCTGCCGTGCTCTTCTCTCATGCTGGCCTGAAGGCCCGGAGATCCGTCGACGCGGCACACCATGCAGCACCGTGCAAAATCGCGACGGGAACCCCAGGCCGATCTTCTGCGGCACTTCTCGAGCCAAATCAATTCGCGCAGGCCCCGGAGCGGAGCCCGAACCCGGCGCGGAAAGACTGCGACGCCTGGATCTCGAGGGAGGGTGCCGAGACCTCCAGACTGGGGGATCCATCTCTGCCGCTCCGTCGCCAGCCTTGCGGCGACGAGGCTGCGAAGGCGCTGCGTCGCGGCCGACTCCGTGGCCGGGAGGCGGGGCCCCGTGAGCGGGTCCTCCTCCCGATCGCCACACGCGGGCCGCCACCGTTCCGGTGCCCCCGAGCCACCTCCGAACAGCCGGGGGCCAGGAGCGGCAGTGGAGGGGGAGGCCCGAAGGTTCTGCCTCGAAGGCGCCCCCGCCCCCACGCATCAGCGGAAACACGGGGGCGAAGAGGCATCCGGTCCCGTGAGCTGGCCCTGCGCGAACCACGACGTGTGCCCCTGCAGCTGACTGGCACGCTCGTCCACACTCTGCTGGCGCCGTGCTCTGGCTGAATCGTCCCTATCTCCACACCTCGATCGACCGTGGCCCACACCACTCGCCGCACCAGCCCCTATGCTGTTCCCACCGCGCAACCAGCTCCTGTATAGCCCATGTCCGTAGATGTGACCCCGGTTCGATGATTCAGAGGCACCCCCCCATGGAATGGGTACACAGGCCCCTCCCCCCCTGATGAGAAGAGCGGGGGACGACGTCGGCGTCGGCGTCGGCGTCGGCGTCGTCGTCGTCTTCCGTCGGCGTCGGCGTCGGCGTCGTCTTCCGTCGGCGTCGTCGTCGGCGTCGGCGTTGGCGTCGGCGTTGGCGTCGGCGTCGTCTTCCGACGGCGTCGGCGTCGGCGTCGGCGTCGGCGTCGGCATCGGCCTCGTCGTCGTCGTCCTCGTCGTCGTCGTCGCCGCCGCCGTCGTCGTCGTCGTCGTCGGCGTCGGCGTCGTCGTCGGCATTGGCGTCGTCTTCCGTCGGCGTCGGCATCGGCGCCAGCGTCGCCGTCGTCTCCATCGTCAGCGTCGTGGTCGTCGTCGTCGTCGGCGGCGTCGGCGTCGGCGTCGGCGTTGGCATCGTCATCGTCATCATTGGCGTCGGCAGCGGCGTCGGCGTCGGCGTCGGCGTCATCTTCCGTCGCCGTCTTCCGTCGGCGTCGTCGTCGGCGTCGGTGTCTTCGGCGTCGGCGTCATCATCGTCGTCGTCATCGTCGTCGTCGTCGGCGGCGTCGCCGTCGTCGGAGTCATCTTCCGTCGGCGTCGGCGTCGGAGTCGGCGTCGGCGTCGGCGTCGTCGTCATCTCCCGTCGTCGTCTTATGTCGGCGCCTTCCGTCGGCGTCGACGTCGTCGTGTTTGCTGTCGTCGTGTTGGCCGTCTTCCGTCGTTGTCGTCGGCGTCGTCGTCATCGTCGTCGTCGCCGTCGTCGCCGTCGTCGCCGTCGTCGGTGTCGGCGTCGGCGTCGTCGTAGTCGGCGGCGGCGTCGGCGTCGGCGTCGTCACCATCGTCGGCGTCAGCGTCGGCGTCGGCGTCGGCACCGGTGGCATCGTCGTCGTCGTTTCGGCCTCGTTGTCGTCGTTGTTGTCGTCTTCCCCCGCATCCCATCTGGGGGTGGGGCTGTAAAACCCTGGGACCCATCCCCGCTGAGGGGGTGGGCGCTGTGAACCTTCGACCTGGGATCATACATACCCTCGCGGGTCAGATACCGAGGCGCGATCACGTGGATACGTTCCGCTCGAAGCAGCCGCGCAGCGCCACCCTGCATCCACGGTGCCGCGGCCGAGAGGTCCAGACCGCGGGGCCACGGATACCATACACGGATCCCGCCCACGACTGACGCCAATGCGGCCCCCAGCTCCCCCTGGAACATGCCCAGCCCACTGAGCATGGCTCAACCGATGCCCATCCCTGGCATGCATGGCCCTGGCGCCACTGGCCGATTCACCCCCCTAAGATGGGGATATGGGCTGCTCCCTTCGGGCTCCGAAGGGCCTATCCCCAACTGGAGGGATGGGGTGGTGGAGCTGAGATACCGTGGCCCGGTGGAGATGGGGATCCGCTCAACGATGCTGACACAATCAGCAGTGCCTGTCGCCGACTCTCGCCGCTGCCCATGGCACGGCCTGGCCCCAGTCTGACCCCAGTGGCTCGAGCCCGCTCGGACTGGCCGCCGACAGCACAGGCAGCCACCAATGCTCGGCCCTGGACCGGAAGGCCCCTAAGTAGCCCTGTTAGTCGCCAGCGCTGGGTGCTGCTACCAGCCCACACATGTTCCTCCAGCGGCCAAGTGGCATCACCACAGCGAGAGCTAGAATGGGCTACAAAGTAGCCGAATCCCGCACGGCGGATTGGGAGCCCATAGCATCCCGACTGGCCATGACTGTCGCCATTGCTGGAGGCCGCCACGAGCCCGCACCAGCCCTCCTGTGACCCCGGCCACAGTCCTGCACGTCGCTCGCGGTGACCGATGCCCCTGGGACCTGGTGGCCGCTGCCCATGGCCCTGCCAGCCACTCGTCCTGCCTGTCCCCAGCGCTGGCTGCCGCCAGAAGCCCCGCATACCTAGACGAGCGCGTTCCACTACTCGCAAAGCACCTACTCGCAAATGGCCTGGATCCGCCGCAGGGGATCTACGATACTTTTCATCGAAGCAAACACATGCTTTTCGGACGTTTGCGAGTAGGCCCTTTGCGAGTAGCGGAACGCGCCTGGGTCCTTTCCTGGCCCCTGTTGGTCCGCTGGCCATGCTCGCCGCCATCGCCGGCTGTCGCCGCAGGCTCCTGCCCGGCCTCCACCTGGCCGTCTGCTGGCCCCCGCGGCCGCTGCCCTGTCGCCAGAGCGGGCGGCCGCCACCCTCGCCCCATGACAGGGCCCCAGGCGGTCAGCGACGGCTGCTGCCGGCCCCGGCTACCAGCCCCCGCTCGCGGCCGACTGGACCTGCCAGCCCTGGTGCACGGCCAGCCTGGCTGCCGTCGCCGGACCACGCCAGCCCCTGTGCAGCCCCACCATGACGCCACCAGACCCCTCGTCCCCACTGGCTCAATCCAAGCGCATCAGCAGTCAAGCAGGCGCTGTCTTGGCTCTGCGCGCTGGAATCGATGGCTGAGCAGACTCGACAGCTCGGGCGTGGCTGGTCAATCACTGCACTCTTACGTGGCAGAAGGGAAGGAGAGTAGTCATAGTCGTCAAATACCACTGGCCCCACCTACACACTACACCGTCTCCGACAGTCCCCTCTTCAACAACTCACACTGCATAAGCAGATCAACAGGAGCCCAGTTCAGATACACTTGCGGCGGGCCCTTGCCTGACATCACCTCGTCTGTAGAGGGGGAGGGGACGGGAGTGGGAAGGGTGGGGGTCAGAGGTGAATGGGGACGGGGACGAGAAGGGGAACGGGGACGGAGAGATGGCATGGGAAGGGGAGAACGAGTAAGCAAGGTGAGCAAGCACGCCCTCTGCGGACACGCGCGCACGAGCGACAGGGGAGGCGCGATGGCCGCGGGGTACAAATGCGCTTGACGCCGACGCGGCAAGTCGCACCAGCACGGCCGGCACACGAGATCGCGCGCGCAAGCTCCCCGGCGCGCGCCCCCTCCAGAGCGCCCACGCCCCGCCGCCGCGGCCCGAAAGCGGAGCCCCGAAGCCTCACCTTGGCGGCTCAATCTCCAGGATCCTCGTCGCGCACGCCGCGCCCGAGCTCGTGCTCGAGGGGGACCGGCGCGGGCAGGCCCCCGTAGACGCGGAGCACCGATGCGCCCGAGCCCGCCCCCTGGCTTGCTGGCGCAGCCACACGCCCGCGAAGCTCCGCGGCGGCCGCGGCCAGCAACGCGGAGCTCGCAGGAACAGCGCTCGCTCCCGCGGCAGCGAGCTCCTCTGGGACCTCTTCCTCATTCTCCTCCTCCTCCTCCTCCTCTTCCTCCTCCTCCTCCTCCTCCTCCTCCTCCTCCTCCTCCTCCTCCTCCTCCTCCTCCTCCTCCTCCTCCTCCTCCTCCTCCTCCTCCTCCTCCTCCTCCTCCTCCTCTGTCCGCCGCCCCGGCACTGGACCCTGTTTAGGTCTGGTGTCCACCTGGGCCTGGCGTGTGAGCACGAGAGGTCACCGGGCCACTGCTGACGGGGGTTGTTAATTTCAAGTCCCGCAAAAACAGACCTGGAGCAGCATGCCAGGGCGGCCGGGCAAGGGGGAGGGAAGAGACGGGGGGAACGGAAGAGGCGGGGGGCGGGGGGCGGTCGTCGGATCGTCGTGGGCGCCGTCGTGGTTCCCACCGCAAGCGGTGGGTGTCGTGGTGGCTGTCGCGAAGGTGGTGGTCGTGGCGTTCACTGCGGTTGTGGTGGACGTGGTGGTTGTCGTGATGGTCCTGGTGGACGAAGTGGTGGCCGTGTCATGGGCGTCCTCGCCGCTGGCGGTCGCGCTGGTGGTGGTCCTGGCCCTGGTGGTCGCCGCCGAGGGCGACGCTAGCGCCGCCACTCGCGGAGTGGCCGACGGCGATCGCCTCCCACCAGGCCCAGAGGTACTGCTCGGGCGGGAGCCGCCGATGGAGTCGAGCCGGCGGCGCCCTGCGGCCACGTCTCCGTCGACGCGCGGGCCTGCGCCGTGGGCGCCTGGCAAGCGCTAAGGATCATCTCCGTGTTGCCCACGACCAGCGTACTATGGATGCGGCGCCACGCGGTGGCGATGACAGTCGACCAGTCCGCCTCGGGCAGGTTTGCGCCGTAGGAACGGGCGAACGAGACGAGCTCATCCGCCGGCCGCCCTCACAACTTCAAGACGGCCGGGACCAGCTCGCCTCCAGAGGGGGGATAGCGGGTCCGCTTGACGCCCACAGCGTACGATGCTGCCAGCCCGTCGTTGTTGAATGGTGCTCTCCTGCACTGGAGGTTGTCGGAGCGTGCGCAGGTGACTGACAAGTCAACGTAAATAGGCTGTCGGGTGGGCGCGTCCTCCTGCTCCCCTCCTCCTCTTCCTCCTCCTCCTCCTCCTTCTACTCCTCCTCCTCCTCATCATCCTCCTCTTCCTACTACTACCACTACCACTACCACTACCACTACCACTACCACGAATACGACGACGACGACGACGACGACGACGACGACGACGACGACGACGACGACGACGACGACGACGACGACGACGACGACGACGACGACGACGACGACTACTACTACTACTACTACTACTACTACTACTACTACTACTACTACTACTACTACTACTACTACTACTACTAACTACTACTACTACTACTACTACTACTACTACTACTACTACTACTACTACTACTACTACTACTTACTACTACTACTACTTTTACTACTACTACTACTATTACTACTACTACTACTACTACTACTACTACTACTACTACTACTACGAACTACTACTACTAACTACTACTACTACTACTACTACTACTACTACTACTACTACTACTACTACTACTACTACTACTTCTACTACTAACTACTACTACTACTACTACTACTACTACTACTACTACTACTACTACTGATTACCTGCTACTGCTACGGCAACTGCTACTGCTGCCGTCCTATTGACTACTAATATACTGCTACATACTACTACTACTACTACTACTACTATACTACTACTATTTTCCTACAAACTACATACTCTATACTATCTACTACTATACTACTACTACTACTACTACTACTACTTACTACTACGACTACCAACTACTACCGCTATTATACTATACTACTACTACTACTAATACTACTACTACTACCACTACTACCTTACTACTTTATACTATACATAGCTACTACTTACTACTACTACTATACTACGACTACTTACTACTACTACTACTACTACTGCTGCTGCTGCTACTACTACTACTACTACTACTACTACTACTGCTACTGCTACTGCTACTGCTACGACTACTACGACTACTACGACTACTACTACTGCTACTACTACTTCTACGACGACTACTACTACTACTACTACTACTACTACTACGACGACTACGACTACGACTACGACGACGACTACTACTACTACTACTACTACTACTACTACTACTGCGACGACGACTACTACTACTACTACTACTACTACTACTACTACTACTACTACTGGCGGTCACGTGCACCACATCACCACGGCTCAACCACCTAGGGAAGAGCGTCCCTGTGGCTGCCTCATTGCCAGTATGTAGCGCGCACCTCTTCTGGGTGTAAGGGCAAGTCTGACATGCTTGCAACGTCAGGCGCTCGCACCGTGGGCAGTTGGACTAACAGCCCAGAGTGAAGCGCCAGCAACGACACAGCAGCACACGGGGCGACCCCAGTACCGCCACCCAGGCCGACTAGCGCGAGAAGACGCGAGGCAAGGCCTGGATGGCAAGCTAAGGGCGGGTCTGACGTGCATGCAGCAGCTGGCGCCTGGCCGAGGACAGCTGGTCCATACAGCAAAAAGTAAGGCGCAGGCGGCAGCATAGCAGGACACGGGGCGACCCCAGTACTGCCACCCAAGCCTACAAGCGCAAGAAGGCGCGAGACGAGGCCAGGATGGCAGGCCAAAATGGCCAGGCGCCTGACGGCGACGCTGCAGTACACGGGGCTGCCCCAGCAGCGCCAGCGAGGCCAACGAGCGCACTACTACTACGACTACTACTACTACTACTACTACTACTACTACTACTACTACCACTACCACTACCACTACCACTACTACGAATACGACGACGACGACGACGACGACGACGACGACGACGACGACGACGACGACGACGACGACGACGACGACGACGACGACGACTACTACTACTACTACTACTACTACTACTACTACTACCATACTACTACTACTACTACTACTACTACTACTACTACTACTACTACTACTACTACTACTAGTACTACTATTACGACTACTACTACTACTACTACTACTACTACTACTACTACTACTACTACTACTACTACTACTACTACTACTACTTGCTGATAGCACTACCACTTCGAACACGACTACTACTACTACTACTAC